GATTTTGCTTTCTGTTGTTTTTGGCTTTCTAAATGCTCTTATAATTGATTGTATATAGACCTTGCAAAGATCCTAATTCTTTGTTGCATTTGGTTCACTAATTTCTTCCAAGACCTTTTTTTTAAGTTTTTCATTATTGAATATAGTTTTATCAAAATGCCAATTAGATGATTGTTTTCTTTTCCAATTGGAGTTGAGTAAGCAACTAACTAGAAGATGGTCTGAGTTACCAAAATGCATAGTAACCTTAGAGACTAAGTGTGATTAATTTTCATCGATAAATATGTAGTCTAAACATGTTGCCATCATGTTACCATTATGTGTTTTTTGGTGAAATGTGAGAAAGAGCTTAGAGCCTGCAATTTCTACAGTGTTTGAAAAATTTCTTGTTAAATCCAACAGTTGGTTTCTGAATGGGTCTGGCTAAAGTATTGTTTGGCTTATTCTGTTTGCTTTAGGTTTTAGATTTATGTTAAAGTTTTCTGCTATAATGTTTATTGCATTTTCTTTTATTTGAGAAGTTCAATTATCAAAAAATGTTACTCTGTTGCTAATGTTCAGAGGTGTATACACATTAGTAATATAAAATAAGAGACCTTTGTAAACAAATGATGCTGTAATAACTTATCTATCATTGTTTACTTTCATATTTTTAAAGGTAATGTTTCTGTTTTCAGCCAGAATTGCCACTTTGTCTAACCAAAATAAGTTAAATATCCATTGGTGTTTTAAAAAGTTTCTAGTGTTTTCATTGTTAAGATTGGTTTCTTGTATTATTATTAAATATAAATTGTAGAATTTTAAGAGTGTTAATGTTTTTTGCTGTTTGCCTCAGTTATTTAGTCCTTTTACATTTAAAGTTGTGATTTTAAGTTTGAATTTTGGAGGCATATAAATGTACAAGAATTTTGACCAATTAGGTCTGTGAGGGCAGTCTCTCATTACATTGTTTTTTGTAAGAGCTAGGTCTTAATTGGTTCTTATCTTATAAGCTCTTTCCTTTTTTATCTTTGTCTTTTTTACAAGATAGCATAGGGGTCTCCTCATTGTTAACTTCTATTATAGGTGATGTTTCTTTTGTATTTTTGTTTCCTGCTTGTGGTTCTGTATTAAGATACAGTGCAGTCAGTTCATCATGTGGTGCTGATACTAAGTCAGATAAGAGGTCCTTATCTTTACTTGATATAGAGTTTCTTTTATCATTGTCTATTTCTATTGAAGGTAACAAAGGCTCCTTTTGTTCATCTTGTATTAAATCATTTTCTTGTAAGCTCACATCATCTGTGATAGATGCATCATCTTGCAAGTATGAGTTTTCTTCTTTGTTAGCAGAACTACCTGCATAAGATTCTTGTTCTGGCCTGATATTAGCTAATTTTTCTTTGTTATATAATCTAATTCTTTTTTTAAAGTCTTGATATTGTTGGCAAAGGGCTATGGATTCCTAGAATAGCTGGCATTTCTTTTTAATATGCCCTTCTTTTTTACAGAAATAGCATACTTTTGCTGCTACCTTCCATTATATTGTAATCTTGTTATCCCAAATATGAGTAAATCTTGGTATTTTATCTTTTAAAAATAAATTCTTTGTGGTTTCGAAAATTACAATCCACTGATCTGTTAGATATGGTGTACCTTCAATTAACAGGAATTTAATCAATGCTATTTTATCTATATTCTTAAAAGCATCTTTAATTGAGTCTAATAGTTCTTCTTTGTTGCCTAGTAGAACATTCCTGATTTTGACTAGCAAGAATGATTTTCTCATATCTATTAAAACATATCCAAAATATGTTTTATTGAAAATTTTAACATCTTTTGTTGCATAGATCTTTAGTTTTTCTTTGTCTGTAAAGATAATTTCTAAATGTGATCGTGTTTTTTTAGTAAGATGTTGTTTAGCTGCAATGATGTCATTTTTAGCTATTTTGAATAAAGATGACATAATTTCATTAAAAAAGCATTGTAGACTTTGTATATCAATAATGAGAGCATTTTTATTCTTTGATTTAATTGTGTTTCTAGAAAAAAAGAATAAGTAAGTTGACTGGCCTCTTTTAAGTTTAGGAAAGAGACTTGACTATTTTTTTGTTAACAGTTCAGTTATTCTACTAAAGCTAGAAATTTTATTTCTTTCCAAAGTGGAGTTCTCTTGTTTATTTATTGGTTCATTTTGAGTTATTGTTTCCATGTTGTTTTTGTTATCTGTACTAGTCTCAGAGACCTCTTTGTTATATGTTGTTGTTTGGATGTTATCTTTATTATATGTACTAATTTCAAAGACCTTTTTATTACATGTATTGACTTCAATAACCTCTTCATTATATGTAGAAGTATTGTTGTTTTGTTCTAAAAGTGTTTCTATGTTGTTGTTATTTCTTTCTACTAATAAGATTTTCTCTTTTATTATGTATATTCTATTTTCTTTAAGTTCTTCTTTCTGTGTATTTATTATTTTCTTGAGTTTCTTAGTTTCTTGAGCTACTTGTTCATCTTAGCTAGGGTTGCTTTTGTTGATATATTCTAGTAAACCTGAGTTATTGCCTTCTACTTGTATAGGCTTCTTATTTTTGATGTTTTTCTTATCAGTGTTTGTTGTTGTTTTTCATTTTTTTGCCATAATGCCAAAGCTTTTTGTATTGTTAAAAGCTTTAAAAGATTTTTTTCTTGTGATAAGAGCAAGTGCTCTTGCTTTGAAACCTTTTTTAAGATTGGTTATCTTGTTGTTGTAGTTTATTTTCCTATTTAGTTTCACTCTACTTCCAAACATATGTGATTTGGAAAAAGTGTATGCAGATCTATTCTGAAAAATGTTATTTAAAAAATATAGCAAATCAAATCTTGTTCAAACTTTCCAAATATACAAATTATTAAATATATGCTAAAGTATGCTGTTAAAACATACATAAATAAAATTTTTACTACTTTAATACATTTTATTTCAGTCATATTAATATAAGGAATTATAAAAAGTGATCTTAAAAACTTTATATAAATAATTTTAATATAATTAAAAACAGCTAGAATAAAATTATAAAATCTCAAAGAATTAACAATATTTATCATATATTTATTATCAAATTGCACCTTTATGCCAATATTATCAAATAAGCCAAAAATGTAAATCAAAATAAAATTATCAAATTCAGCTAAATTTCCTGCTTTATAATAATCTTTTTTATCTTCTGTATCTCTTAAAACAATTTTTAAAATATTATTTAATTCTTTTAAATTATTATTTTCTTCAATTAATCGAGCATTATTTGTTTTAACTTCTTGAATATTATTTCTCAAATCATTGTTTTTTCTTATTAATTGTTCCTTATTAGCAAGCAATGCAATATTTCATTGTCTTAAGAGCTTAGCTATAGCCATTTTATTATAAATCAAAGTTATTTATATATATTTATATTTTTATAATGCAATCAAAGTTTAATTATTTTTTTTTATTTAAAAAAATTTTAAAAATAATATTATAATCACAATAAGTTGTTAACAATTAAAGTTTTAATTTTGATTTTAATATCAAAATTAAAATTCGAAATCTATTGCTAACTTATATGAGTAAGGCTAAGTATAAGTTTGCATTCACATATATATAGAAAAAATGCAACTCTTAATATTTAGATACAATTGCTGATTTGTGCTAAGCAAAATTCAGCTAAAAGTTAAATTTTCAACAACATTGCAGCTTAGATAATTATATCTCTTATTTCTATATAATTGTAAAATTTTTTTATTTTCTTATTTTATAATTTATCACAATTTTATCACAATTTCTAATTTAGAACATATAAATTCTATTCTATTTTTTATATTAAATAACAAATTAGTACACTTTACTGATATGAATTAAAGTTTAAATCTTAATTAGTACATTTATTAATTTAGTAATTTATCTTATTTAAATGAATTTCCAAATTAGATTTCTCAATTTAGTAAATATACTAAAAGTTGGATTTGTTGATTCAATATAAATAATAAACTAAAAATAAAATAACAACATATTTGTTAATCTTAATATAAATTCTAATCTAAAATTAAACTATTAAATATATATACAATATAAAATCTAATCTAAAAATAAAATAAGCAATATATATTTTATTAATTATTACATAAATTATTACTTTAAAAATAAATATTTAATAAGTAGATTTTTAGTAAAAATTCAAATAATTTGGTTGTTAGTCAATTAAAAATTATAATTGTAAATAGGTTTTCAATAAAAAATCGAATAGTTTGGTTGTTAGCTAATTAAAAAACATAATTGTGAATAGGTTTTTAGTAAAAATTCAAATAGTTTGATTATTAGCCAATCAAAAAACATAATTGTGAATAGGTTTTCAGTAAGTATTTGAATAGTTAGTTATTGACAAATCAAATATGATCAATAATATCAAATCACTTTTGCAAAAATCTAAGTTTATTCAAATTAGTTTTGCAAGAATCTAAGTTAATTGAAGTATCATTCAATCATATTGCATAATATCAAATCACTTTTGCAAAAATCTGAGTTTATTCAAATTAGTTTTACAAGAATTTGAGTTAATTAAAGTATCATCCAATTATATTATATAATATCAAATTGCTTTTGCAAAAATCTGAGTTTATTCAAATTAGTTTTGCAAAAATCTAAGTTGATTGAAGTATTGTTCAATCATATTGTATAATATCAAATTGCTTTTTGTAAAAATCTAAGTTACTTTTGCAAAAAATCTAAGTTAATTAAAGTTTTATCCAATTAATAACATCATATTTCAAATAGTTTTTAGAAAAATCTGAGTAGTTTTTGAAAAAATCTGAGTTGATTAAAGTTTTGTTTAATCAATAATATTGTATTTCAAATAGTTTTTAGAAAAATCTAAGTTCTTTACTGAATATTATAATATTACAATAAAAATCTATTTAAATAATTTCATACAAATTATATTTTAAAATTAAAATACTAATATAATTGTTAATTTTAATATATAAATATAATCTAAATTTAAAGTATTAATTTATATTATAATAATGTAATTCAATTACATATATACTTAGAACCTTTTAGCAATTTTTTTATTAATAAAATCTGAATAAAAAAAATCTTTTCTATCTATAATTTATTTGTTTAAACCTTTATACATTCATAAAAACTATTTTACAAAACTTTTTTTCTTTTTTCTTTTTAGTATTAAAGTGACCTCTTTGGTCTTTCAACTTTTATTAATTGCTTATTGGTATTGTAGTTCAATAAACTACTACAGAAGAGTATACAATTGGCTACACATGTAACTTTTTTATATTACTTATTTAAGGAGTTTGCCTGAAAGTTCTTCACTAATTGTTATACCTAACACCTCTGCTTGGGTGTTTCACTTTAAATTCTTTGACCTGTAACCTGTATTAACTCACTGAATCATATCCAGATGTCCAGATCATCATTTCAATCTTAGAACTATTTTATTCTCAAGGTAAACCTTCAGAGTTTTCTGTATTCATTTTTATAGCTGATCTAGATATTGCTATAGCAAAACCAACACTTGTGATCAGAACTTAATCATTAAACCATTATGCTCTTGTAGAGTTTACTTAGATTCAACATCTACTCACAGCATAATCCTGATACTTTAGTATATCCTTGCCTTTTCACTTGTCTTTTTACCAAACTTCCAATTCAGATAATTTGTATAAGACTACAACCAGTTTATTGATATATTAGATCAGCCTAATATTCTTTTTCTCTGATTCATTCTAGCAACCTAGTTGGTAATACCTCCAAGACTTTTAACTCAGAGGTTCTTGCCTGTTCAGCTACTACAACCAGATACTACAATCTTGATATCTGTTTTTTTGAATTAGCCCTTTACAGTAGGGTCATCAAATATTCAGCTATTTCTCTACTTAAGTCTTTCTAAATAGACTTCTTGTTATCTAATTTTAATGAATTTATACAGCTACAAGAACTTATCTAATATTTGCACTATCCAATTTGTCAGTTTGCATTTCTTTGTATAATGCTATACTTATACAGATGTCTTATGACCTGCCAGTCATGCTGATGTAACCACTATTACAGATATTCTAATCCAATTATTAGTAACAATTATCATAATACAAATATTATATAGATAATTATTTAAATTTTTTGCCATTGATAGAATTTGAACATCCAACCTACTACTTGAGAGGTTGGCAATCTGACCACTTTACTAAATTACCACATTTCAAAAAACTTTTTTTTAAAAATTATTTATTTTTTGTTTTTTTAACAAAATACAAAATATCCAATTACAATTCTGAATCTGATGATGGTTTGCAATATTTACAGTGAACTATTACTTAAGAACATATTAATACAAACAACAAATTCAAAAAGATCAAAGATGCAATTTTATTTTATTGAAATTGCTTATTTTTTATATTTGTTTTATTTATAATAGTTATTTGCATTAATGGCTATTATATAATTTATTTAAACAGTTTAAATATACAACTTTTTTACTTATAACTTGAAATTGAAGTTGCTAAAGAATTGTTTAACAAAAATATTGATTTAATAATCGATTTTTTAAATCAGCACTAGCTGTAAGTTGGATGTTCCATCTTACTTGTATTTGTGATTTTGAAGTTATACTGCCTATAGAGAAATAGATATATATTCTGAGTATATATTTTATATAACAAGAGTATATTCTATTGTTTCTTAAAAAACTAATATCAAAATTAGAGTTATATCTCTGAGATGTTAATATTGATAATACTGGTGAATAAGAATTTTGTACTAATATTTTTTTTATTCATTTATTTAAATAGATAAAATAATTTATATAACAAGTAAAAAACTAATATGCTAAATATTTTTTATTATATTTTTTAAGGTCAGTTCAACTTCACAAGAATTTAATATTATATTTCTCAATATATTCATTTACTTTTTCTAAATAATTTTTAATTAATTTAACATTTTATTCACTTACATCTTCTAACAGATTCAATGTATTATTAATATAATAATAATACATGCTTTCATTCTAGCTATAAAATATTAACCTTATATAAAATTTTATTTATAATAACAAATTGTTAAGACACTTGTGTTTAATATTATAGTAAATTTTTAGTGAAGGATTAACTAAATTGTTATTGATTAGATAGTTTTTAAACTCTTCATAATTTGTAAATATGTTTATTATTTTTAATTTCTGT